ATATAGTTTAAGACTAGCGGGCAGGAAGACAGTCTTTCAATAACTGAACATTATAAATATGTCCATTTCTAATCCTCTCAAAGAAAAGGTCAAATAATTCATTTCCCTGTACAAAGCATATAATAGGCAGTCTCTACATATTATTGTTGGTAAAGCATTCAGTGTTAATCAGTGTATCTGCTAATATGACGTGTCGTATTACTTGGCAGTACATCTGACCTAAATAATGAGTTAAGCTGATTATAGGACATATATTCATTGGCCTAATTCATTAAATAAATATTGATTTAGTGGTTGCACTAGGCACTGAGCTGAAAGCAAATACATAAAAGATAAAACAAAATAATGTGGAGCAAAAGGATATCTAGCTCCTAGGTGCTTATGTCAACTTTATGCCAACCCAATAGCACTCATGGTCCTTAAGAGCTAATAAACTAGACACACTGTATCTATGAGCAAAGCATTTGCCATGGAAACTGATATTTTACAGTTCACCAGAAGCTTCTAACTGCTGATTGCTGTTCTCTAGAAGTGATTCCAGGGGCCAGGGGGCGGGGGACAGGCGGGGAGGGGAGTGCTGGGAAGGAATTTCTGCAGATAAAGCCCAGTGTTATTCATATTGTTAATTCAACTTAATGAGATCAATTCTAAAGCTATGCTTCAGAGACACAGGATATACAAAAGTTTTCTTACAATGTAGAATTCAATGCTTTTCACAAATTCTCTCTTCTAGACAACACAGTTGATGATGCTCTTATAACTAAAGAAAGAGGACATTAAAGAAAACCTGTATCTACTAGGACGACAGCACAGTTTACAGCATTAGTGTTAATAATGACTCCAGACCAAGTAAATGTCAGTGGGGTAATAATGGTTCCCAACTATACGCTTAGCTGAGTCATTAAATATATGCCACCTATAAGTTATAATAACATAAATATATAAATATAAAATAATAAAACATGACCCCAATTGTCACTTGCAAAAATGGATGATAGCTATAATTTAGATCTGCTTGAATGAGATGTCATAAGTCAATGACAAATAACAGTAAGATACCTACAAAACTGCTAACTAAAGTGGGACAATTACAAACAGGATGGACAAAACTAAAAAACTAAAAGCACAACTAAAACTAAAGCGCAACCTCCAAGGAAATGATACTGTCGTATGCTTATGATAAACAGCAAACTGACTTGTAGAACACAGAAACATAGTTGCTATTTTATTTCTTTGTAAGGTTTCCAAATTTCACCAAGTGATGAAACAGATCTTCAGTCCAAAACAAGACTGTATTTGATTTGAAGAGATTACAGAGCTCCTCAGTAATCTGAACCACATTCAGCAAGTGTCACTTTCAAATATGAAAATAATCAACATAACCTATGCAAACATATTTAGATTGTTAGACTAGCTAAAAAGAAATGGTTCTTGAGCTATTTGTAAGCCTATTTGAAAATTAGGTCCTTAGAGATCTAATACTAAAAAAAGTATTATATATTTTATTTATTATATATATCTTCTAACATGTACATTAGAATCCTAATTTAATGATCTTTGCCCCACAACATAAATATTCCTTCAACATGGCAGGCCCTCTTGGCACTGGCGCATTTCAATTTGGTATTCATTTTGTTCAGTATCACATACATTCAACACAATACAGAACATATTATAATGTAATCACAATTTATGATTTACTCACATACTATCATCCACTGCTACTTGTCAATTGTTTTCCACGGGGAGATAAACTTAATTAATATTAGCTCAGATCAGATTACCAAAACTGAAGACATATAAAAGACATACAATTTGCCATACTCCAATGTCAGATTAATGCTGAAAAACCTTTCATGCCCTAAATTTCCTAGAGACTTTGACATTGCTAAGATGGAATCACCATGTGAACTAGACACATGCTCCTTCCAGATAATGAAAGCCAGAAGGATCACATCAGCCTTCCATTGACGGACACTATGAATATCCTTTTCAGGGAGGCAAGCTATCTGCTCCTTTGAAGCAAATACCTCCACGTAGCCCTCTATTTTCAGCCTTATGTCACTCTGCAACACTGATCATTCCATTCTTGGTCTCAAATCTCTCTTGCATGGTCAACTCCAATAAACCTCAAAAGCAGCGGTATCTTAAGGGCATTCTAATTTCAGTTTAGCCAAGTGATAAAACCAAAATTAAATATGAGAAACTTCTAAAGGCATAAACAAATCCCATGGGTACTCTACATTTACAGTTCTAGATTAATAGTTTTTGATATTTAAACATAGTGTTTGTAATCTACTTAAGTAAAGGGTCTGAAGGGAAACACATTTTGCTTTCTAAAATTGTTCTTTATCAGCCTCTTTCTCTAAGCATCTTTAATTATGGACTGAAATTTTGTTAGGCTTGTCTGGTTCATTCAGAAAACTCCATGAGCAATAACTTAATATCTTAAAGCATGACGTCATACCAGGTGAATCTTCAACACAGTTTCAAATAAAGCAATGACCACTCTTAGAAAACAACTTCACAGGTAATACAGTCAGAGGGACATTAAGAAGCAATTGCAAAGTGCAGTGAAATGTGAAGAAAACATACAATTTTTCTCAACACATCTGTAGTATTCCTTTGGCTGGCTAGTCTCTTCCCTTTAAGAGCCCAGTCTCTTAAATTGATGTGCTGGGTTAAACTGTAAAACCCTGAATAATTTGAACTCAATTTGGAAAAAAAAATATTTTTTCACCTATATACTATAAAATACGGTTACATTTGTCACACTGGTCATGATGTGGATTCCCATAAAAAAGTAGAGAATGACAAGGAACATTTTCTCCCAGAAAGATATTTAATTCTAAAAACCAATTCATCATAAGCATCACCTTCCCGTTTATCCTTCAGACCCACCCTAACCATGGTTTAAATTTGCAACACACACACACACACACACACACACACACACACACACACACACACAGTCTCCTTTCTCTGCTCTTTCACTTTTTCATAGCACTTATACTTTTCTAACATTAAATAATTAAATGTTTATTGTTAATCATTTTTTGCTAGAATGTAAGCTACAGAAGGGAAGGAATCATTGTGTTTTGTTCACTGACATATCCTAAGCACCTAGACATAACCTGATACACAGTAGTCAATACGTTGTTAAAAAGTCCCAAGTAGCCCCAGGAGTCACCAAACTGGCTTAACAAAGTAACGCTCAGTAAGGTGTAAAGCCACGCCGAAACAGTACTAGAAGGGTGCAAAGCCAGGACTCAATAAACATTAGTGACTATTAGTTCCTCATCTGGGGAGAGAGTTTTGTTCTAAAGCATTATTTGTGAACTCCACCACTTTAATTCAGCTGACAGGTTAAGTCGCCAAGCGCGTTACCATGCAGCCCTACGACATGCATTTTGCTACAGTCCTGGACTCGAACTGTTCCAACGTTTTATGTAATTTCCCAAAGAACAAAAGCAAAATGTTCACTCTAAACTCGCCTTCCAACTCAAGCAGGAAGTTCTTTCTCGGCCAAGGCAGAGCACTTGGAAAGTTTTCAGCGTCTGAAAAATTTTATTTCCGGGGCCGAGCCGAGCAATTTCCGGCTAAAAATAAAGATTTATGGCGATTTCTCTCCTTCCCTTCCATATCAGTTTCAAAACATCTTCGACTAGCTTAAACTTTCTGCGCTACCCCTCGACATCAAGACCAAATGTCAAAAGCATAATGAGTGAGCCGGTGCGGGGCCGGGAGCTAGAGAAAAGACTGACTGGACAGGAGCCCAGGGGTTCAAGGCGACAGAAATAAAAAAACATCAGCCTAAGCGGGGCGGCTAGTGGGAAGGGAAAAAGAAACTCTGAGAGAGCTGCCTCTCCCGAGGCCCGGGATGTCACCAAGCCGTGCTGGCCCAAGTGGCACCTCTGGGGCTACGCCCAAAGCCAACCTCACCAGGGCGAGCCACTTCCGCCAGCAACTTCGCACATGCGCAGCACCGCCTCGGCCCGCAGCCTGGTTAAGGGCACAATCCTACAGCCGCGCACCCAGCACCGGCCAGAGGGTTTGCGCACGCGCAGTGATGCCTCGACCCTTGGCCTTGGCGGAAGTGCCCCGGGCCTTGGGCCCCACCCCCCACAACCAGCACAATCGCGCACGAGCGGAAACGCCTTGGCCTAAGGCTCGGGCGGGGCTGTTACCCCTGGCGGCTGCCGCGCCGCTGAGCTCCGGCTGCGGGGGCGGGCAGGGGTGGCGCGACCCTGGAGTATCTAGGGAGCGGCCCGCTTGAAGCCCTGCGCCCCCTCCTGACTTCCTGTCCCGGCTTCTAATCCCTACCTCAGCGCAGGCCCAAGCCGCATCCGCTCCGCCTTTGGGTCGCCGTTGTTGCTCTGTCCGGGATCCGGCGCCGCGACGAGTTGGCGCCTCCCCCCGAAGCGGCCTGGCTTCGGCGGAATGCGGTCGGGTGTCTGGCCGGCCGGGGACGAGAAGGGAGGGGAGCTCGCACAAGGAGAGGGGGCCGACGACGGCGCCTCGCCCCTCCTCTCTTCTCTCCTCTGCCCATTGCCGCCCCCGCCCCTTCCTCTCCATCTCCCCCTTCTCTCTCAGAGGACCTCTAGGACTGGACACAGCTTTCCCCTCCGGGTCCCTTTTCTCGGGAATTCCCGTGTGGGACACCCCCACCTTCTCCAGAGTACTAGTCCCCAAAGTCTTGGGAATTTGGAGGTGCCTGACCCGGAAGGGTGAGACACGTATGGCGGCTGCGGATAATCTTTTCTGCAGTCCCTCTTCCCCACGCCTGTTCCAGCTTTCCTAATGGTGGTACCCCCTTCAGGGAGCTTAAGTCGCTTCTTAACGGTTTCCCCTTAATTTCACTTCACCAATGTGGGGACGAAGTCCTGTACCCTTCTAGTACAAAGGCTGAAATAATGAGGGATGTGTGCTAAGGGAGTGACCAGAGCTACCTTGGGACCAAGGTCTTCTGGAAGAAGCGCTCTCTTCCATTATTAATCTGCAGTAATTTCTTGTATTACAATGCAGTTTTGTTGGCTTTCGTAGATTTCAATGAAATGCACCATAGCTTTATAATGTGCGATAATTTCTTCCACATTACTGCACTTACATTGACCTGAGTAGGTTTTGGTAAAATGCTCCACAACTAATATTAGCTGTTCCTATCAAGTAAGCCCGTTGCTTTTATACTGGCACAGGTTCAACAATTAAATGGTTTACCAGCTAGAATAACAGATTTCAACCCAGAGTGACCATGTCACTCTTGTCTGGCTTTCGTCATTTTGTTGGGAAATGACATTTCATTGGCAAAATTCCAGAATGTCTAGCTGCCTTTATTACAGCTGCTATAGTTGACCTTTATGTCTATTATCAGCAAAGTCCATTAAGCTCCAGGAGATTGCATTTATTTGATTTTACAAGATATGAGTAGCGCAGTAGTTTACATGTATGGCATTGCCCAAGACAGATTTCCCCTGAAAGTTATTCTATGACCTTTTAATGTAAACTCTGACATAACCATAACTGAAAGGACATTTTGGAGTTTAGGTTTTAAAAAGTTTAATTAGAAGGACTCCTTCAATAGTACTTATCTAAAGGAAGGGGTGGCCAGACTAAGGAAAGCAGTCATAAAAGGTGGAGTTATCGCTAAACATGCCTTCCTTATACAACAATTACTTGTGATGTTTATATCTCAGTAGATTGTGAAATTCTTGAGGGCGCAGATCATGTCATTATAATTTCTGTACCGCAAAATGCTTAATAAGTGTTTGTGGAATCAAATTACATTGAATTACATGCCTTTAGTTCCTTAAATATGCTTCCATCCTGCATTAAGAGATCTAAACATAAATCCATTGCCTACTTTCATTGTAGATGATTTGTGCCAGTTCTGTTGGTCCTGACTGCCCTGATAAATTGACCTCTTAAGAGTGCTTGATATCAAATTTAAACAGGCTCGAGGTTACCTTTTTTTATACCTTGATCCTCTTTTTCTTCAGCAAAACAGCATAACACGGGGTCTGCATTAAGAAAATCCAATGACTTATTTTTCTGTTCAGGAAAAGGCTTTTCCTCTGATCACCAAAGTTAAAATTCATCATTAAACAACTTTAGGATCGATTCATTAAACATAGATTGTTTCGAATTTAAATACTCCACATCTCCTACCACTTTTTCGCTTTATCCACACTGCTTTGTATTTGACATTTTAAAAAATTTGAGTCACTAGAGAGCAAAATTACATAAAACCACTTTCATACAGAATGTAACGCATCGTTTACAAATGAACCGACATAATTCTTTCCTCACAGGACTGATACTCCTTTGAAATTTGTTATTTTTTTAAATATTTAACTATTTAAAAATGAAAATAGGTAACTTTAAAGGTCCTGAGTTCTTAGTTCTGAGATTATTCCTAAATAATGAAAAATTGGAAGACATTCTATAACATACACTTTCTCTGATTTCTACCACTGATATATATTGCTAATGGGGAACTTAATGTTAAGATGTGATTACAGCAAGAATAATCAGAATAGAGGATTCAATAGGTGTAGTCCCAGAACACAGAACAGGAAACTTCCTGTAACAAACCTGACCCTTGGAACAGTTAGGATATGGAAGAAACTGTTAGAATATCTCTATTTTTATCTAAATGAAGAAATCAAACTACTAATATTTAACACATAGATTGACAATAGTGAATATTTCTGTGATTGTAGCACATGATAAAAAATATTTAGAAACCACTGCCATAGAGGACCATCAGCTCTGTAGTCAGTTTTCTGATTTCACCATGTTTTGAATCCATGTAATATTTTAAGTATGATCATTTGGATTTAGATAATATTTTAAGTATAATAATCTTGAAACGTATGTAAAATTTAAAATTTTACCTTTTACTTTGTAGTAAGTAAATGTTTATTCCTTAGTCACTTTTAGCATTGTTATTTAGCAAATCTTGGTAATCTTTATAATGTTTCTTTGACAACTATTGCTTTGTATTTGTAGTTTATATTTATAAAATCATAGAGCTGAGAGAGATTAAATATAAATCCTCATTTTATAGACATCCAGACGATGAACTAACTTACCCTAATTCTTTGGAATCATAATTTCAATGATTTTTTTCAATGCATCACTCCATTTATAGGACTAATATCAGATGAATGATAACAATGCCATTGCACAAGATGGGAAGGTATAGCTATTTCTCATAAAAGTAGAAGAAACTCATTTTTAACTTTTTACTTTAAAATAATATAGATTCACAGGAAGTTGCAAAAATGGTACACAGAGGTCCCATGTGCCTGCCACCAGTTTCCTCTATTAGTGGTATTTTATAAATGGAAGAAATTTATCAGGTAACGTTTGCTCTCAAAAAATCCTCAAAACAGTAGAATTAATAATAATTGCTGCCATTTTTTGAGCATCTGTTGTGTACCAGGAGCTTTAACTATATTATCTTATTTGAAGCTCACAAAAATCCTTTAAGAAAGGGGCGACCCTCAGTTCATAGCTCAGGCAACTCAGGCTCCAAGAGAGTAAGTCATTTCCATCATTCCCAGGGCCAGATCTGTCTACCTTGCACATTTCATCTTTTCCACATATGGACTGCTGAAGCTCAGGCATTCCTTACACTAAGTTTCAGCTGAATCCTGACAATTATCTAACACAAATATTATTGTTTTGAAAATTGTGACTTTTCTCAAAAGTTAAAACTCTCTTTAAAAAAAATCCACATATAAAAAATTTTTTCTTAAATATTTGGGACCAACATATTTTCCCAGGAAAGTCAAAATTTAAAGCAGGAGGGAAAGAAGATTAGATCACATATAAGTTTCCTATAAATTTTTTTGGAAAATTTAGTCTATTGATTTCACCATTGCTAAATTTATCAAACTGAAAAATTATACTCAGAGACAGTATAGGTCAGTATTTTAGAGGTTAAAATTCCCCTCACCACATTGGTCAAGTTTACCTACTGTTTTAGTCAGTTCTGGCTGCTTTAACAAAGTGCTGGGTGTCTAATAAGCAATGGAACTTTATTTCTCACTCTTCTGTGGAGGCTGGAAGTCCAAAATCAGGCTGCTGCTTGGTTGGATTCTGTTGAGGTGCTTCTTCTAGTTTGCAGACTTCCACCTTCTCACATAGTGGAAAGAAGGCAAAAGAGTTCTCTGGGATCTCTTTTACAAAGGCACTAATCCCATTCAGGAGGACTCCACCTCATGACCTAATTGCTTCCCAAAACCTCAGCTCCTAATACCATCACACTGGGGGGAAGGGTTTCAACATGTAAATTTTAGAGGACACATACATTCAGTCCATTGCTCCTACATCTGGACCTGTGCACTCTGGATTCCCTCCCATTACCATGAATGAAATGTCCATGCTCTTATCTAAGCCCAGCTCTTCCACTTTTGTCTAAGAGCTGTCTTCTCTTGCATTCTCAGTGTTGTTACTCTAGTGGTTGTCACCTTGCAATCCTACATTATCGATTTTTATCTCTAAGCGTATTAACATTGTATACTATGTTCCCATCTTTTAAAAAACTTCCTGATGACACGGCCCCCACCAGCTACCACCCTATTTCTCTGCTCTCTCCCAAAACTTCTCAGAAGAGCCATTTATACTCACTGTATCTTCATCTCCTCCTCCTATTCATTTTTTAATCCACTCCAAATCAGGCTTTTGCTCCCACCCCTCCACTGAAACTGCTCTTGGCAAAGTCACCAGTGACCTCTGAATTGCAAACTCAGTGTTAATTCTGTCATCTCATTCCAACTATCAGCAGCATTTGAAACAGCTGTTCACCCCTGCCATCTTGAGGCATTCACTTTCTTTGATTGGTTTTCATGGGGCCCCTCTCTCTTAGGTCTTCCACATAACTTGCAGCTCTCATTCCCTACGTCTCCAGCCATTGTCTTGCCTAGAGAGTTCTCTACTTTCTCCCTTGGTGATTTCATCCATTCTCAAGATACAATTTTTAGTATTCATCTCTGCAGCCACTCCTGGAGCCATTTCCCTTCAATGTCCCACCCTACTCTGGTCCTAACATATTCATGACTCTACTCCAGTGAAACTTAGAGCCCTTGTCTTTTTCCTGTGCACAGTGGGGACCTGGCCATAATGAGACAGCCTTTCCTTTTTAAACCTCTAAAGCAGAGAGACTTCATCCTGCTTTTTTTTTTTTCCTAGACAGCCAGGCACCAAGGCCCCACCTCCTTTTGACTTTTTCTTGGGAATTCAGAAAACTCGAATTATACTCCAGGGAAGAAGAAAATTTTCTTTCCTCCTCATTGAATCTCCACCAGCAAAAATTAAGCACATGTCAATTTCTCCACAGGTCACCTTGTCACAGATTGAGTGAATAAATGAATGAATGAAAGAGATCTGCGCTTTGGTGCCTAGTGTGCCATTGATTGAGTAATGACCTTGGGAAATATATTAGTTTTCT